TGGGATTTGAACCTAAATAGTAATTTATAACAATTTTCTTGAATTTCTGGAAAATTAGGGATGTTAGATTATTAAGACAATTTGCGATGTATGTTTTAGAATTTGTTCCTGTAAATCATGGTGTCCTGATTTGAACGATTAATCACGTTTCACTTCTGTACCCTGATTTAATAATCTCCTTCTGCCTTTGTGTAAAGTCCCTCCTGAAATAAAAAAGGGGCACAGACTGAAGCCCGCATGCATTACGGTTTGCAGGGCTGTGCTTTACTGCCTGCAGGGGCCACGATGCCTGTAGTCCAGGGTCTGCCCACCAGTTTTGCATCCACTCTAGTTTCGGGGTGTCTCTTTGTCTCTCCCTTCGTGTCTGTCTTTGTGTGTATTCTTTCTCTATCTCTGTCGCCGCCAGATCTCCCTACTTTGTGAACTGAACTCCTATGTCGAGGCAAGTCCCCGACATACCCAAGCGTGGCAACAGTTGTAAGGTTGGCCCATGATTGGGCAGTGTTTCGTTCTGCTGTGCATAGGGTCACTATGAGTAGGTACCAACTCGATGGCACCTAACAACAACAACAACAATAGCTATTGATCATGAAAATTTCTTCATGTTTGTTGGCTATGTCTTCCTTGGTGAAGTGTATATTCATGTCCTGTGCCTGTTTTAATTGGGTTATTTGTCTTTATCTTGTAGAGGTGTTTTAATTTCCTATAGATTTTATAAGGAGCTCTGGTAGCGTAGTGGTTACGAATCAGACTGCAAGCCGCAAGGTCAGCAGTTCGAAACTACCAGCATTCCGTGGGAGAAAGATGAGGCGGTCTGCTCCGGTAAAGATTTACTGCCTCGGAAACCCTGTGTGGGGTCGCTATGAGTTGGAACCGACTCCACAGCACATAACAACAACAACAACAATAGATTTTATAGTCCCTTGTCTGACACATCCCTTGTATAGTCCCTTGTCTGACACATCATTGCAATGCGTTTTCCCCGATCCTGTGGGCTCCTTATTTACTTTTTTTTTTTTTTTATGATGCAGAAGTATTTATTTGCAACAACAAAGAATTAAAAATGACTAAGTAGAGTTTTTGATTGGATCACACTAATTCCAAATCTGGAGGACTCAGAAATCACCAGGTTGTTTTAATGACTTAGTTTCTAACTGTCTGTCTCTCTCTCTCTCTCTCTCTTTTTTTTTTTTTGACTAGGTGCCAACTGTGGAAGAGATCGTCAGTTACTCTTATGTAGGTTCAGACTGAAGCTGAAAAAACTTAAGTCTACAAGATCCAAAATATAGCCTTGAATATATCTCACGTAATTTAAACAAAACAAAACATTTTCAGGAGAGATTTGGTGCATTGAACACTAGTGTTTGACGATGAGATGAGTTGTGGAATGAAATCGAGGATGTCATACATAAAGAAGCCCAAAGGACATTAAAAAGACAGGAAATGACCTGCTGTCAGAAAACCAAAAAGGACAAACTCAGCATTTTTCAAGCAGTAGAACTTAAGAAAAAATTCAAGCCTCTACTGCAATACTGAAAGATTCTATGGGAAAAATATAGAATGACTTAGAAGCACTAAAAAAAGATGGGGAAAATACACAGTCAGTGCATAAAAAAAAATTGGTTGATGGCCTACCTTTTAAAGAGGCTTCATCTGATCAAGAACTGAAGGTATTAAAAAAAAGCCAGAGCACTTGCGGAGCTCGAGTCAAGATGGAGGAGTACGCGCGAGAACCTTGCCCCTGGCGAATTGTGGATGACTGTGGTGGAGCTTTTACCATGGGCACCATAGGTGGTGGTATCTATCAAGCAATCAAAGGGTTTTGGAATTCTCCAGTGGGAGTCAGCCACAGACTACGAGGAAGTTTGACAGCTATTAAAACCAGGGCTCCACAGTTGGGAGGCAGCTTTGCAGTTTGGGGTGGTCTGTTTTCCATGATTGACTGTAGTATGGTTCAAGTCAGAGGGAAAGAAGATCCCTGGAACTCCATCACAAGCGGTGCCTTAATAGGAGCCATACTGGCAGCAAGAAATGGACCAGTGG